TTTTTTTTTTTTTTGGGGGGGGGGACTCCGCTACAGCCACTGATGTCACTGCCAAAGGTTGGAGGATTCTCAATGTCAGGGCACACGTCCGGTGACCAACGTCGACAACCTATGATATGAGAAGCAGGCAACCTTCCTTATCTTCCTTCCGGGCGCCACGACCCAAATTGCGAGTAGTGATTCCTGGTGCTAGTGTGCAGAGGGCGTGGCGTAGTCTACGTGATGACAAGCATCAGGGGCCGGCACATGCTCGAAGCTGGGTGTGAAACACGACGCGAACGAGTTCAGCCTGCATAGTTTCTGATTCTATAGGGGTTAGGCAGAATGCGCCAGAAGTGCTATTGCAGCTTCGATTTGCGCACGACCCTTCATCTCACGTTCTATTGAGAGAGTGACCTGGATGCAGCCAACTCACGCCGAGTGCGCACAGGAAAATGCCCCACCACTGGGGAGGTGTAAGTTGCCGGTTCAGCATCGCCACACCTCGTCCCACAAGCGATTTATGGACTCTGCCACTTACAAAAAAATTAAAGTCTCGCTGTGGGGCCAGAAGCCCAAATGCTGGATCTTATTCTGCAAGGACTTGGCCGTGAACAATCTGCACTACTATCACCAGCAGCACCTCCATACAGAGTATCCGGCTGGGCTTATCAAGACCGCTAGAGCCAGAGTCCAACCTAAAGCATTCACACGCGACGGACACGCCCCGCAGCTCCGCTCAGGACCTTCACAATGCTACAGGAACAACGTGGTGACTTGTCGCCAGTGCTTCGGCCGGGACGCTGAAGAGTGCAGTCGTGACCAGCTTCATCCTGGCTCTCCCAGCTCTGCAGAACCCGAGCTCTCAAACCGACAAGAAAGCAGGGTTGCGTGGTTCGGAAAGCTGGCGCAGTACATCAGCCGATGATTCAAAGCTTTTCGACTCCGGCTCTGCTAGCTCCGCACTTCGACGATCTTTGTAAAAGGAGCCGGGCCTTCTATTTCTGCTTGATAGAAGACAGTAAGAGAGTCTTTGCATGTCTAGTCTGTATTCGTCTGCCACACAAGGCCGGGTCGCGGTCGCCATGCCCGTCTGCTTACAAGCAAATTGCTGCAAGGCATGTCTATCAATTAGCCCCGACCAGTCTCGGCCACGGCGTGGACCCAGTTCCAGTGTGCACAACTGCTCTTGTTCGCGAAGTCTCGCTGAATAAACCATCCCCGCATAATCTGCTGGCAATTAGCTTTGCGCGGTGCTGCTGGCTAGCCTCGCATACGCTGTAATACAGCGGATTGCTGTCGTCATGAATGCTGCGCCATAGCGGAGAATTCATTCGCAATGAATTAACGAAACTGCTGTCCAAGAAACTGGTACAGCACTTGACATACCTCGGCGCAGCCGAGCTAGAAGTGCTTGTGCTCCTACTGCATATCGAGATCACTTCTTCCAGGGTACGGAAATGTCAAGGTTCGACGCTGCGACATACTGAAGGCTGTTCTGCAGAGAGTACAGCACGGCCGGCACCAGCCTGGCCCGGGATCCACGAAGCTGCACATTGGATGAACTCGCTACGTTCAATCGTTGTTCCAAGTCTGGGCAGCTCCAGCATGCTGAGATACCAGCGAGACGGCAGGTTGCTGCAACGGATATCTGTAGGTGTCTGGCTCATGTGATGCAGGCCCAACCACTCGGGCCCGCACATTCTGAAGGACTCCGTGGAGAAGAACATGACGATCAACTTAGAACGGGGCATTAGCACAAGCTTGTGAACATGCCATGCAGAAAATGTCACAGAAAGGCTTGCGTTCAACTCTAGTGACGCTGTAGCAGTAGATAACATGACAATGGGAACACGAAGCACAACCCACAAACACCCCAAACCTCCAAAAGTCCGATTCGGACGTCGCACTGGAGACAGGTCTTGAACAGGTCTTGGCCTAGCCCAAATACCTGTCAAGCACAGAAATAGCGAGCATACTCAAATCTTCGTTTAACCCACAGAAACCCACAAAATTCTCCGAAACGTCCCAACTACCGGAAAACCGTACTTGCAAACAAGATGCCTACGTACTGCGATCTCACGATAACGGAGCATTGGTATGTACTAGCGCGAGGTTCGGTGACATGCATCAGCGGACAGCAGGCACGTTTTCTCAACGCACGATCGTTGATATCTGACCGGGTCTGAAGGTGGTGATCGCGAGATCTTCTTATGAGGATCCGCGGCTTTCTCATAGGTCTTGACCTAAAAACTGGGCACCCGCTGCCAGTGGGGGGCCCCCACCGGAGTCCTCGGAAACTCTTCGGCCGAGATTGGCCGAAGGGACTTTGCCACAGGGGCAAAGTTCAAAGGACAGTTGTCCGACTCGGGGCCACTCGTGCGGACCATTGCAGATCTTGCAGGAACTTGTCGAAGTGCCATCAGAGGTAGTTGCTTCCCATGTGAAGTGTAAGGCAATCTCAATGCATACTGTGTGATTTTCATTTCATACTGCCAACCAAATCGTTCGACGCTCCGTTAACAGCTTGTTGCTCTCTGATCGAAGCTGTGCAGACCCCTTCCACTGCGTATTAAACGACAAAGTGTACGCGTGGGTTCGACCAGACACTGAAGCTGCAGATGGGACATCAGCGTGCGCAGTGTACAGTCAGCCTTTGGCTGCCTGCAACTCATGAATGGGGGTCGATGCTCTGAGACTTGGCCACAGCAACTTGGAGGGAGAATCACTGAGTGCTGCGTTTCTGTGCCTCGTCCCCTCTACGAGCTCCAAGACTCCAAGCCTGCACCCTTGGGTTATGCTTAAGTTGTATGCCACATGCCTTCCGACGTTAACACAGTACATGACTGAGACAACGGGAACTAACAAAGGGGCGTTGCCTCAGCGACAAGTGAAAGAGTCTGAAAGAGCATCTTATCGGGCCTGATGTAGTTAAGCGTTGGAGAATCAGGCGAAAAGAAGCTTTCATGCTTCCCCTTCTTGATGAGGCCCAGTCCCGACACCATGATTAGGTGATTAGGACGCACGGTGGGAGCGGAGAACTGGGACGATTTTGCACTACTTTGCTCTGAATGTGCCTTCGTTGCAGACTTCCGCAGGATGTGCACAGCGCTACTGGAAGAAACGGGATCACCGAAGCCTTCAGCTGGAAGCTGCTGGTGTGCTTTGATACGGGGATAAAGTGCCAAGCCGGGCTCTCTGAGCAAGCCCCGGGAAAAGTCTGTTCGCCTTGTCGGCTCAGGTTGCAGCAAGCTCAGATCTGGTTTTTCTGAGCCAGGTAGAGCTTGGCGGCTGCAGCGCAAGAGGTCACCAACCTTGTCTCCGGGTCCACCTGCATGTTGGGTCAGTCTCTGCTTGGATGATGCTCGGCTGAGGCACATCGCTCTTGACCCCCACCTCAGTCCGATCGTGGCTGATGATCTCTCGTAGGTGGACCCCGTCCTTGCATCGCTTCGTTACCCTGCATGTCCTGCTTAACTTCCCGACAAACGTAATTGCGCTCATCGCGAGAAAGGGCATGTTCTCCTGACCAGCCGGACATGGAGGTATTTACGCATGGCAAGTGCATGTCGGATCCAAAGCTCGTTTCATGGACTCGGGATCTGTGGATCCCGAAAGTTGCAGCACCTGACCCAATGTCAGCCCTAACGCGAAGAGAGCACTGCAGGCTGAGCTTCGTGTCGATCGGGCGAGTCGGCATCGAGCCAGGCTCGCAGCGCCAGCTCCTTGGTAGCATAATCCAAAGCATGGGCGCTTTAGATTCGGGTCTTAAGCGCGGTTTCTTCAACTGACATCCCTTGTGGCTCTGTTTGCCACCTTGTCATCCTGGCCCTCCCCACTCTGAAGCAGCCCTTTTCTGAGGCTGGCGGCACAGAGAAAAAACTGTTTGGTCAGGTGATGTAGGCGTTGTTACCTCAAGTCCTCCGCCATTCGAGCCGATTGCGCCCGGGGACGTTCATGCGCAAAGCTACATCTCCAAAATAGTACGCATAGTAGAGACAGGGAGCTCGATCTGAAAGGCATAGAATGTAATCCCGGTGGAAGGACTATGAGAGTCAAGTCACTGCGGAGTCTGCGTTCGGACGTTCATCGGGTGAAGGCCTGAGACCTTCAGGAACTGTCTATGTTCTATGACTTCAAGGCAGATTTGCGGATTGGCCCCTGAACTAACAACAGTGTCTAAGACTGTTGACAGCCGCGCGTAGTTGTACTTGAGATTCCTGGGATGTCTCATACTGATCTCCAGTGCTCCTAGGAAGCAAGCACACTCCATGCTCTGACAAAGCTAAACCCCCCCCAATAAGAAAATTCCATGGACAAAACCTCTTTCGATCCGGCCAATCCTATGGAAAAAGAAAAGACCGGCTCTCCCTGGAGTCGACAGTCCCGGGCCTCTCTCTCACACGTCTTCTACGTGAACTTAAAAGTAGTACATGGGCGAGGCTACAGATATTCCAGATCGGCGCCATCTTGCAAGGTGCAAGGATGAGTCGGCTTCCGATGCGCGCTGGTTTCCCATACGCGCCGGTTTCGGATGTGCGGCCGGCTTTTGATGTGCAGTTGCTAATTCAAAGACCGGCTGCTGATTTAAGTGGTGATTCACTGAATTACACCCAGTGACAACACACACACACACGCACACACACATTCACGACATAAATGTCACAGGAGTCGCAGTCCATCCATCCATCCATCCCTCCCTCCACCCATGCAATCGCGGGGATAATAACATACAAGCATCTATCCATCCATGCATCCATCCATCCATGAATATACACATACATACAGGTATGCATACATACACACAGAAGCATACCCGCACATCCATATGTGCACATATATCCGGTGACAAAAACAAAAAGAGAAAGACAGAGAGAAACAGAACAAAAGAGAGAAGCGGAGAGAGGGCGAGAGAGAGAGGGAGAGGGAGAGCAGTCACGGAATGCCGTACACATCCTGTACATACAGCTACAAACCTTGGCCTCGTCGAAGGAGCCAGAAGAGTGCGCGCGACAAACGGACACGAGTACGATCGAGTACGACTATCTGCCTGAACAGATCATGCTTGCATGGCTACAAACCGTCGAAGTTCAGGAGTGCCAGTTACATGTGGACATGCCAGGTCAGACTTCCAGCCGTGCAGGCGATTTCGAAGTCCGAGAGGCAAGAGTCGATAAGTCGCTTCGCGTGCTCCAAGTAGGGGACCGGAGTTGGTGGCCACTGCAGGTCCGGTACCTCGAAGTATCTTCCGGATACCCACGAAGAAGCTGTTTGCACTCTCCTACGAAGTGAAAGTACATACTCGAGCTCTGCTCATCAAGAACCCCCAAACCTCCGCTGACTCCACAAAGAAATACCTCCAAGGTCGTGCAACGCCCTTCAGACAGGAGTTGCTGAGAGCATGAAGCAGCTGAATGTGACAATTGTGCTACAAGCCCTCAACCCTCTTCTACGCCTGGGTTACTACACGTAAATAAACTTTGAATACTCATCGTAGCACTACAGGCGGTGCTTCTGAAAAGCCTTGCAGCAGCCGAGCCGGCCTGATTTCTCTCAGCCTGAGACACCACATCCTCACGAAAACACCACAGCAAGAAGCGGCCTTCTTGTTGAGACAAACCTCTGCATGCCCCTCATCGGAAAGCTTACAGGCACAAAATCCTCATCGTCAAAATGCAGGTTTGTCGACTGTGACTATTCCGAGATCTGCTCCAGTGTGTGCAGAAGGCCCCAACAGCCTGAAGCTTCGAATGCCACCAAGAGCGGGAAACAAGCATGTCCTGAACGCTCAGCCCCTGCAAAGGATTCGCTGCGGCCAGCACGAAGAAAATCACCTCACAGAGCGGCTGCTTCAGAGTCTCAGCTTTGTCTGATACATCCATGGCCATCATTCGGACGACAGCCCTCACAAACGGAATTCAGAAGATGGCCAAAGCGCCTGCATTCACCGCGCGTTAAAAAAGGGGCGGGTGCAAGCTCGCAAGCATCTCCAGGTCACTGACTGCTACGGCCGCTGCGGAACATCTGCTCGCAGCAGCACTGTGACACTGACTGCACTCGTTGCATCCGAGGCACTCTGCCGAATGAAAACATGTCTGCCTTGTCTGCCTTCGCCATCTGGATGGTCTTGGTAAGCACCTCTTAGACTCTTGCAGGACGAGGGTAGGACGCACAAGGCGAAGCCACGGAGTCAAAGTGAGGCGAGGCCCTACTGTCACCCCACTACGCACCTTGAGTACGTTCCCTAACTCTGGAAACACCGGGAACTCATCTGATCCTTAGTAGCCGCAGTAGGCCTCAGTTATGCATGGTTCCGAGTTGTGAAATTCGGATGCCACAAGCTGAAACCGAAGGAGGGAGACCTTCAAGTCGAAACGGAGGCCTGTGCCGTGAATAGTACAACTACAGAATGTTACTGACACTCCTACCATCAAAGTCCAAAGCTCTTGAAGCTTGGCGGCTATGTGCACAGTGGTACTGGAGGGTTGTAGAACTACATAATGAATCTTCGGATCTGTGGCAAGGAACACTGCGCACTAGCCGACAAAACCAACACAACAACAATATACTGTCTGTGCGAAATTAGCTTCGCGTGGTGTCAAGCGGAAGGTGTGCTACTCGGCCGCACTTCATTCATGGTCTTCTGTCCGTGCCTGTGAATTTCCAGAGACCTTCACCACATCCAACTGAAAGATAAGGCAAGGCTTTTGCTGGTAGTATACTTTCGCTGACACCCCTCTTGCAACAAAACGTCTGTAAGCATCCATGGTAAGACATGTAGGCTCCTTGCACTTGCAGTAAGACTCCCCATTAATCAGCATGACTTAATAAGAATCCAATGATTCCCAGCCTTTATTCACATGTTCCCGAGATATGTGGCTCATGTCATTTAGCTCCACTCGCATGGGCCCGGGGCACCTCTGGCGCCATGTAGCGCGGTGTTCCTGCATGCGAAAAGGGAACCATGACGCCGCAAGAGCCTACTGTCAACACCCATCCTGCAAGGCAAACTTGGACACAGCAGTGCTGGACAACCAGAGCGCAGCCGTAAAAACCCTATCCAAAGCACAAAAGTTCAATGCCCCGCAGTCGGTCAGGAGCCTGTGGAAGATTGGTTTAGCACACCTTCTCAGTAGGCCACATTCATTCGGAGCCTTTAAAGAACGAACTCAATCTGCCTTTTCCTTGGAACCGAGCTGCATCCGATCAAATCTCGAAAGCTGTGCCCTGGGCCCTTACATCCGCGGAGGGTAACCGGGTAGTGGGAGGTAGTAGTTTAGCAGCGACCATAGTGCATGATACCAGTGGCAAGTTTAACAAGAGTTCCTTTGCTTCCCTGAAAGACAACGCCGGAAGTCCGCCGGGACAAGAAGAGCAAAAGTGAAGCTAAACTGGATGCCCACGCAAAAGGGGTCCTAGATCAAGTAATAATGAAGTGCTCAGCTCGTTTTGTGTGAAGGGTGGCTTCTTCATTCTTTTCTGCCCTTCCCCAGCATCGACCTATGGTTCACTAGCATGTGAGTCCCTTATCTGCCTCCCAGCTGGCGCGAGTGGCTGTGGCGAATCCGCGATAGTCCAAAATCGATCAGCTTCGGAGAACGATCGCCTCAACTGCAGCTTTCAGCACGCTCCTGCTCTTGACGACTCAAGGATCTGAAGCCAAGGCACTTGGTGTGTCTCCTACAGGTGGCGTACTTTCTTTACAATCACTCCGAACACCTGTGCCGAGACAAGGAGTCCGATGAGTTCGTAAATGTTCGTGCCGCCGAATACTCATGCTGCGTTTACCACAACTCGCTCCTGCTGCCCAGCCTAACTTGAACTCTAACTCTGTTTCTTGGCCCTTCAATATATAACCACCAAATCATAGAAAGCCAACGCGTGCGCACTCAGAAGGACCCCCGAAACCAATAGGTTCAACAGGTATCACGACCGCCTGAAGGCTCCCCCCGCGGTACATACTACGCAGTCTATGACTCCTTTTGTTTTGCACAAAGTGTTCTCGGTTTAAAATACTATAGAATTATAGAGCACATAGACATTCCCAGCAGTATCTCACAGTGACTCGCTTGATTTGCTCCATCAAACTCTCCAAGGGGCGCTCCAGGACCAGGACGTTGCTGGGCTTCAGGTCCCCGTGGGCCACGGACGGGACCAAGCCGTGCAAGTACCGCAGTGCTCCTTTTGGCTGCGCTCTGTTTTTTTATTTTTTTTTCGGGGGGGGGGGGGG